AGAACCGAGGGATAAACCACTATCGTATTACATAAGGGCTTGGATTAGTAAGAGAGTATATTTGGTGATACTAGTCACGTGTCTACCTTTGCTGGTTTACCACTGCATTCTCATACCTTTATTTTATTCAATGATTACGTTGAAAGTTTTATTTTTTTTATATTCAAGTTAGCGGGCGTACCCCCCCTGAATTATAGTTTGCAGGAATTTGTCTGACTTTCTTCTACCAATGGTTCCTTCTGTATTCATTTTGGTTCTTCTAAAGGCAATATAAATTCTAATTGATTGTACAGCAGCTTCCTTTCCAAGCCGACCGTTCACCGCCTTTTTTAAGGTTCCTCATAATTTTATCTGTTCATTCAGTGATGCTCGAGATAGTAAAAGGCTACATGTTCTTTAAGATCGGTTTTGCTTTACGCTGCCACCAGTGTAGCGTCCCGGGACTCCCTGAAGACGAAAGAAGACACAATACTCGGGCAGAATATGTATTCAGCGCAGAGAAGGTGTCTGGGCTACTGGCATGGCCCAAAAGGCCAGCCCACCCAGCGAGGTACAAGGGGGCTACTTCAAAGTACAAAAGTGGCGCCTCGCCAATGCCGAGGGATAAACCACTGTCGTATTACAAGTAAAAGGCCTCCTCTGCGTACTCTGTATCGTGCGATTCACAACTAATTCAGTCTTTTGAAGGTCACAACAAACCGTAGAGAGAATCATTATTCCTTTTTTCGATTTAGAGACCCAAAAACTCATTGTTGGAATAAAAATACCAGCGCTGATACCAAGGAAGTTTTTTGCTGTCAAGAGGTTTGCTGTCCATCTAGGTCAGTATACTGGAAAACTCTAGGAGAATTGGCAAAATGCCAGATACCATGTTTTCAAAAACACGAGATTCTCAAAACATTTGATTAATTGACCTTTTAGAAGCGGGTGTGCTCACTTCCGCAGCGTAGTGTTAGTGGTGCTGGAAACTGGGAATCTCCGCAGGAACCAATCCATGAGCTCCCGTTTCCATAAATAAGAGACAAGTATAATTCCATGCGCTATGTTTACTTGGAAGAACAGGAATTTGTGCTCCTACGTAGCAAATGATCTGTTCGTAAACACTTTGCACCAGTGAAGGTGCTTCCCTTTTCATTATTCTGAAATCTCCCATAGAAGGCATAACCAAATCCATTTTTCCGACAATACTGTCAAAAAAGGAAAAGGATTATTTGGACTTTCAAGGGCAACTTGATTTTGTTATGGATTCACCACGAACATTGTGCTCAGTAAGGAGAATAACAATTTGGTACACTCATGTAGGGAATGTATGCTTATTCTTGGTCACTCTCATGCTTGCTTGCAACGTTGTCTGCCGTGAATGAAACATTTGTGGAGCATAGAACGTTTAACTGTCTACCACTTCTTACAGTCGTTCGACAATTTTCACGATGATTGAATGTTAGGTAGTAAATCACCCTCGTGAAACTTGGTTGAGAACTTAGCTAAACTGGAGAAAAGACGTCGAATAGTCCTTTGTTCTAGTGGTTTTTAATGCTTGACATACTAGAAGAAAATAAGGAAATTTAAACATATCCATATGTACGATCACTCAAGAATTGACTATTAGAAACGTTTTGGGCAAACATTGATATGTGTACCGTGAATGACAAGCATGGGGTCTGCCTTACAAGAACAAGTTCTTAACCTTTGATATCTTTGTGTAAAAATATTCACTTTCTGTGAACGATAATTGAATTTAAATTATTTATTTTTGCACTCGTTTCACAGATATCATGATTCTGCATCCATATCTTAAGACAAATTATACCAGCTAAAAATATCCACCAAATCCACAAGACAGCAATCTTTTAAATGAAATGTGCAACCAAAAGTGGAACCACAGGTGGCAAAGATCAACTGCGAGGGAGAAGTCAAAAGCTTTTAGCAGAAACTTGATATCCTTGAAATCAATGGACAGCACAGCAACAACGGTGTAGGGGTTGGTTGATGTATCCGGTAAACAGAACTTATATACAAGTATAAACGCCTACTATGCGAGTAGCTTGGGCCTAGGCCAGGGCCGTTTATTTGACCTTTTAGTCATGAGTGAGTCAGCCACCGTCTAGAACGTCAGGTCAGATGACATGTCTAAACTCCATGAGCGGTTGTTCTCTTCTATTCGGATCAACAATCGGGGTTCGTGCTTTCAAATGGCAGATACGGTGATGAGGTGAGGGTCACGGGACTGACTTTGAACTCGCTATTCACTTTTCCTAGGCCTATTGGCGCAGGTCTAGCTGTTGCAGTGAAAAATGGTCGTTTTCGTGGTTTTCATGATACGGAATGGGAGAATGCACATTAAATTAAATGACATCGCCCGCCATAATGAGTAGCCAAATAACATTTAATGTGGGTAGGTCAAGAGGAAATTAAGTGGAGGCAATTCGTAATGTATGGAACTCACCTCCAATTTGCAGTTAGAAAATTGGTGAACTTTAACCACCTCGGCATGACCGGCTCGGTTAAGAGGACGCGGTAATCCTACCAATCTGTGCTAAAAAGCAAGCATTTCCCATCCAAATATTAGCTTAATCTTTCAGCACGCCAATAATAGCAACACTAACAATAACTGCCCATTCCATTCATCAACTTGAGTTGTTGAATCGAGCATGAAGCTAAAGGTGCTCATTGGTGTCATGTGCAAATATGTGCCTTTCATGCAAGAAAGGCGTTGGATCTCCCCACAGCGGAAGAGATGACTTATTTCAGCAAGGCGGCTAGACGGATATGACAAGAATTGCCGAAACTCTTTCTGTAGGGTGAGGTTTTATGGTGCCAAGAGGACGTTAATTCCGCTAACTGAATAGTGGTCCCTAGATCATTAGTACAAACACTTCTTCAAGAATTACACGAGCAACTCAGCCACGTGGGTGAAAAGCAAATGCTAGATACCTCAAGCAAAAAATACTAGTGCCTCTCGCTCGCCCCAGATACACTAGACTCCTGTCGAACCCGTATCACTTGCAGCAGTTTTAAAAGCCCACACTCTACAGAGCCCGCACCACTGCAGCCTATGCTCACATGTTTCCCAGGGAAAGAGCAGGTATGAGCATCAAAGGCCCTCTACCGCCTGCCAGAAGAGGAAACTGATATATTCGCTATGTGGTAGACTACTTTACGAAGGTTATCAAGGCAGAACCCATGCAGATACAAGACGCTGAAAGGATTACTTTAGTTTTCTTCAATGGGTGGATTTACCAGCATGGATTGCCAGAATCCGATCAAGGTCCTGGTTTCGAAAGTTGGCCCTTCATTGAACTATGTAAGACCTTTTAAATCTCAAAGATACGCACGACACTTGAGCATCCGCAAGGCAACGGGCAGGTGGGAAGAATGAATATTCACCAAAGATACACAACCAGAAAACTGGGATTTAATCTTAGACCGTATCCTTCTCACATGCAGGGCTAGGGTCCATACGTCAACGGGCGTTTCTCCGTTCAAGATGCTCACGGACTGTGCATTGAGAGCGCCTTCCGCTATCTTTCTACTAAATATGGGATTAGCAACCAACGCTATCCCAGAGTATGTACTGCATCTGAAAGAAAGCATAAGAAAAACTTAACGTCGCACGCAGACACTTACGACTATCTTATATCATGCAGAAGAAATATTACGACAAACACAGCCGGACGAATGTCTACCGAGAAAAAGACTTATTACAATTATACAGACTGATTCCCCCACCCGGAACATACCGCAAGTTGCATTACCCTTATAGCAAAGATCCATTCCGAATAGTGAAAGTGCTCTCACCTACAAACTACCGCGTCCACAACGCACGGCTTTGTACCCATCCAGTACCCGTTCACCACAACACGATACGACTCTACAAAGGTACACTACAGGTCAGGTCCGAAGATGAAGCTTACGTACTAACAAAAGAAAGAAAACCTCCCAATGCCAAATATAAGGAGAACTCATAAATGGGAGCACCGGCGACAGTAACAAAGGGACGAAAGGGCTATGTAATATTTGTTTAAGTGTGTCTGCTGCAATAGAAGTGGGTAGCCGACTAAAGATTAGCGTTGCACGTATCAAGAAAAATTTGTTGAAATTACTTTCCATGAAAGTTCTTTTGTGATAAATGTAACTGCTTTTTGAAGAAATGAGGATCCTCTAAGCCAACCCAGTAAAGTGCCTTGCGTTTAAAGGATGGTAGAGCATACTAAAATATTGCAGACAAGTAACACGCTAATTAACAACTTTTGCTACTTTGAACGGGACTAATGTGTAGTTGTTAAGTAATGTTGTGGGTGCTTTCGCGTCCATATTTATAAAGATCACTAAAAACGCTAATAAAATAACACCTTTTTATCGTAACTTAAGTCTTGTCCTTAAAAATCTGCAAAATGTATTTTGTTTTACTATTTTAGGCATTAGGTGCTGGATGCGTTTCCCGAATGAGGCAACAATTTGAAATACGCGGTAATGTGTGATGCAATCAACCCGTCAAATTTCAGGGAGTTAGAAGCAAAATATGAAGGTATCAAATCACACCGTACATTAGCGGAGCCACACAATGCATGTCAGTTTCTAGAAGAAAACTTTTTGGAATCATTAGATAGTGTTATTCTTGCAGGTGAGTAAAGACGATTTTCGTAATTTTAGACTGCAAGATCTTTCAGGTCTTAAACTCAGTGTCCTTCCACAGTTGATTTATTTTGCTTTTAATATCGAAACCCTTGATTTATCACATAATTGTCTTCGAATCCTTCGTGAGCATGGAAAACCTTGGCGACGTCTTAGATACATGGATCTGAGGTAGTATCAATTTTGGAACCCTATTCTTCAGTGACAACCAATTCTTACTCTTGCCTTCAATTGCTATGAAACTTTCAACGCTACGCTATTTGTCTGTCTCAAGCAACAATCTGGAGTTTATTCCTCGCGACTGGTCATCGCTCTACAATTTGGAAGAACTGGTAGATTGGTTATTATTATTATAATGTTTAGGACTTATCTTACAATCGCATTGTAGATATTTCACCATTAGTAAATATCCAATCACTAAAAGTACTGAATCTGAATCAGAACATGATTTCTGTCCTTCCCTATGGTATGAACTGTTAAAAGTTTTCTTTAGTGCAATACCTCTGTCATACAACTTTTATGCATCCAAATCCATTTATTAGTGGTAATTTGACAATGTATTTTACCAGTGAACACTGGAATTACGAATCCCTACTATGTTTGTTGAAATTTGTGATGTTACCTAATTGGTCTATTTTCATTTGGATGATCCAAATTGTCTCCATCCAGGCATTTTTTTCTCTTGCATGCATGCATAAAGTTTTGGTTGGAAACAGAGACTAAGGTTGCATTTAATTGTTTTTATATGGCGTAGTTAGAGAAACGTCTCCCACAATATTTTCACTTTTATCTGACTTAATAATATGAAAATATTTTGCATTGATATTCTGTATGATTTGCATATGATCAGTTTATTACGATCGTAAGTAGTGCAGTTTCATCGTTTCTGATGAATAGCTTAAATGCCTAATAACGCTATTAGTAGTTGATAATTGGCAGACTAAGGTGCTCCAAATTCAATATAAATGGAACGTAAAAATAGGCACAGATCCCTATAATGCTTAAGTTGCATCGAAATCCATTAACTTAAGTAAATTGTTAGTATTCAAAACTTGCTATCCCTTCTACAGACATTCACAAGTTGGAAAACCTTCTCAGTTTGAATTGTCAACAAAATAGGATTTACCATCTGCCAAATTCTCTAGCACAGATGAAGATGCTTGAGGAGTTTGATGTATTGGACAATCCATTGGTATTTCCGCCATTCAACGTAAGTCTCATTACATTATTCCGCTATAATGTTAGTTCTTTCCATTTGAGCGATTAAAATGTCAGCTTGTGTAGCCAGATCTTGATCTGATGACTTTTGAAGCATAAAGTAGCATTGTCTGATCAGGATAGACAAAAACTTTGGGAGAATTTTATGGAACAAGTTTCGGGTACGAACGAATAGATGAGAACTCAATCGTGTTAAATGTTTTTTTGTACACTTGATCTCTGATCCACTTGGTTTATGTTTATGTAGTGAGATCAAAGTCTGGGGTACTTTTGAATTTTTTGCTTCATTTATGAATGCGCCCAAAGTTATGGAATAGCACAAATCGTATTTCACAAGGTTACCTCAAATAGCTTTGCAACTGTCGATTTTAAACCCAATAAACCACCGAATTCTGATGGCAGGAAACAATGGGTCGGTATTAGGAGAGTTATGTGCATTGCGATATAACGGAGAAGCAACAAACTGCTAGTGTTTTCCTAGTTGCATTCCTCGCACTGGTTTTTATATTGTTTCGTTTAGTTGTGTGGAAACAGTTATCAATGGTGACAAGCTCTTGCACCGTGAAAAAGAGAGTGTGCATTTGGTAGCATGCTTGAAAACTTAATCATTCAAAAATCCTCAACTGTTAAGATAATGCAGTAAAATGTAAACATTACAAATAAGCACTTCTTAAAAATCCTAGAGAAGAGCATTTATTGAGCTATTTACCAACGTATTTGTCAGTATGAGTAAGTAGACGTAAAAGGCAGCTAACGTCCAATTATGATAGTGTCGTGAATGTGTACCATGATGAAATCCTTAAAGAAATCTTCTGTACAACCTTAGTTTTTGTGATGGAGTGCTGACTTAGAGGATTACTTTGCTCTGCTCATTTTTTTATCCACGTACAATACACTGTGAAAATGGAAAGTAGCAAAAAATGAGGAACTGACGGGGGGAAGATAACGTCCGATTTAGGGTCATTGCGTTTACTAAACTTCAATCGGATGCCATTTCCCTTAGATTATTTCGCGAGGGCTCGCCCACATCCTTGCCTTCCTCTCCAGAAGCGAGCAGAAGCCACAGCTGCACCCACCACCACTGCAACAGCAGCAGTATGAAGAAGAAGAGGATTTGGTGGAAGAAGTGGCGGAAGAGACATCAAGCTCTCTCCAAAATCCGATTTCTCCACCCGCCACCCTCCTTCCCTCTCCTACCGCGTCGCGACCCAGTTCTGCTATGGCCATGGTAACCTGGCAACAAATTTACCTACCTACAACGCCCGACAGGTAAAACAATTTTAGTTTTTTAAAGGGGTTAAAATTCTGCTTGCTTTCATTAGGCGTCTGTGACCACTCGATCTCTAGAGCTCTTGCAGGTAGTTAGCAGTCGTTCTGCGGGGCGTGCACCGTGTGACGCTAGTGCAAAGATTATCAATCCACCATACTTATTCGTATAAGCAGATTTCGACTAGAAGTGGATGAAAACGAGTATGTTCGATACTAAGAAAGTACAAATACAGCTAATGAAGTGGATTTTGGGTCCATCCTAGCCATATCACAACTTACCACACTTATTGACATTTAGAATTTTGAAAAGGAACTCAGACATGTATTTATGGGAAGATTATTCACTCTGATCCATTTCCTAAACTACGTGATCCACTAGATTTGTTTCTATTTTTAACTAGTGGCCAAAACGTACAGCAGAATACAAGTCCGATTGGCTAATATTTCCTCGACTAAAATGTACTAGCGATAAACGGAGCCGTTTGATAGAGTTGCAAAGAAAAACGTTTTCTAGGTGACCAAGTGCGTATATTTTCCTTGCAAAGGACTGAATCCAGTCAGTCCGAAAGGAATGTTCTCCGACGATTGAGCAGCCAGCCGGAATTCTACAGACACGTTGCCACGGCATCAGGAGACACTGACGACCCCAGTGTCTCTCCGACTTCACTCTCGGAGGACGGGACCAGTATTTTTGAGCTGCATCAATCGTGCGACTCACAACAATTGTGGAGGGAAGGACACCACGGGAAAACGTATTCTTCGTATCCCGTGATCTCGCATAAGCCGCAGGTAAGGCTGTTTAGTTGTGGAGGATGAGAGTTCTATATGGTTTCACTTTGCCATTACGGACGTTAACCTCAAGTATGTCCCTGGGCGAAACTCATACCCACTGAGTCATCGATGGCCAAGTGGGTGGAGCTAGGTTGCTCCAGTTTTCTCTTTGACGGCTTTGGCTGGTTTGTTTTTACTTATAACTTGGCCTCATAAAATGTTTTCTTTTACGCAGGTCCAAAGTGATAGTTTACTAGAAACCACAGAAAGTGTCATAAGCTTTAACGCTCTCATGAGTGAAGAAACTGTTATTTCGATTCAAAGACAAGTGTCCAGAGGGGTTTTTTGGCACGTATGACGCCGAACCTAATGTCATCAAGTAATGGTTTCATTGAAGGTTGGGACTTGAGGGGGTTCGTTTACTTTGTAAGCAAGTGGTGCGCAATGATTGCTCTATTGGTTGATTAGACTTTATTTAGGGCAGTTGAAAAGCGCTGGATTTAGTGGTGCTTTCCGATTAGCATGCGCTTTGGCGACAGTTTGCATTATGAGCTGAGTTTTCTTCTGCAGTAGCAGTCTTGGCCACAAGCTGTCAAGTACTACTCTCATATAGAGCAGTTCCTAATTTCTGGTAAAGCGAAAATAACTCGACTTATGCACCTTATGCAAATGGGAATATTCAGGTTTCGGATGTTTATGGGAGTTGCAAATTACGGCTGATGTGGCTGTCAAAGTGCACGTTACGCAATCACAGGTGAGTTGTATGGGAGATCAAAAAGAATACGGAAGAATCTTTTATCCGACCTAACGTACAGAACAGAAGCCCACCTTTACTCCCTTCTTATGTACATAACTACGCCCTTAGCATTGCCTCGTGTCGAAAGTGCCGATTACGAGTAAAGAGCCAGCTCTTACCGTGAATAATTTTTGGTTTTTAACCAAATCTCGGGAATGCCACGCATACCTAAATAGGCATCGCATCTAATTAAATTGTGAGCTTTTGTGCTAATGATCCACACCCCATTTATCTCAAATTGTGAAGGTGCTAAACTATCGCGTCTTTTACATTGACTGAGATCTATTGCAGACGTCCCCGTAAATGTTTTAAAATATTTTAGCCTAATTGGAATCACATCTCTATTGCGCATGTTTGATAGAAACTTCGCAACTTCCGCACGCGCTCCACGAGAATAATGAAACGTCCCTTTGGACTGGTTTCTCATTAACAATTTGTGCCCTTCCCACAGTACATCCTTAATGGCGAATCTAAGCATACTGTTTTAACTAGATGTTTCATTGCATTTGGCTACCTCCCTGTTGACCTGATCACTTAGGTCTTGTCGCCTAACTGTGGGGATTGGTCGCATAAGGTGCTCGCTGAATACAAATTAGCCACTTGGCCTGCGCCTCCAACAGTCCTACATACACATACACACACACAGCCACCCTCGCGTCCTAGGGTGGCCTCTCACGTGCCGGTAGTTCGCATCAGCGCAGGCGTTGACTTCGTGTGGGTATGCATGTGTGCGCGATTGAATGGATGCAAACAACGCCATGAAGATTTGTGGCATTCCTCCCTAGGAAATGAACCAGGAACGATACAGGCTATTTACCGAAATTCCTGACAAACCCCAGCCTCCGCCTCCCAGTGCCCGTGAGTTTACCATTCTTATCTCACTCAAAGTTGATTACTTCCAAAATTCTCTGCTTCATGGTTTCCCGAGAATGCATGGCGCATCAAAGGCAATAGTATAAATATTCAAAATTTGGGCAGAAATTAGGGGGAAGACTCCATTTTCTTCACTAGTTAATTGCTAAATTGTTGACTAGATAACCCTTAGACTGTATCACATTATCTTCCACCATTCGGAGACGTAAACAAACTACTTGGAATTGTAACGACTTTCAAATATGTTCAAAGCAAGTGTTGGTAAATATCTGCCTTTCCCAATAGTTCCTTCGTCAAACGCTGGTCGAAGCAAGCTTTACGTTCGGGGGAGAACACCCTCTCCACCTCCGCGGAGACCGCGTCCGTCGGTGTCCCTTTCGAGATCGCCTGATGCAAGTATACCCTGTACTCGACCTCTTCTGCATCCTCGGCACTCCATCTCTCCCTTTACACACTCTCCCTACTGTCGTCTGCCCGATGAGCCGTCTCAGGCGAAGGTATTCTATCTTCAACCTGTTTGATAGATGATAGTTGATTGGAATAACTGTAGGTCATCGACAAGATCCTTCAAACCGATCATCGTTAAGTGTGAAAAGTAGGGGGAATCATTGGTAGACGAGTAGAATGGGGGTCAAATTATTATAAACTTCATTCTCTAATCTATGGTGATATTTTGCTCTTACGAGTTAAGTACATAGGGCCATACCTAATCACACCCCTTTTTGATGCACTGGGAAGATTTATGTAGTCGGTAAGTTCCTGGGATAAATCAATTGGCAGGATATTCATGTCATTTTCATAAAGTTTAAGCATGGTGGTTTTCGTTCACATGAATGTTATTAGATCCGACATAAATAAGAGTTCAATTTGTTAATAGTATGTGCTGCAGATCTTGGACGCAACAATATTTATGAAAAGTGTATGCAGTTTTTAATGAGTTCGAACCCACTTAGTGTGGTGGCCATTCAAGGTTGCTTTTCGAGTGAATTTAACCAAGTTGATTGATTGGTTATTAAACCGAATAATTTCAAGTAATTGCCAGGACTTGAGCAGCTAGAAATGTATCGAAGCCAGATCTTGTCCTACTTAAAATAACAAAAAGGGCGAATTTAGAGTAATTTTAAAAAAGAACGAATAAGAAAATTGAAACATTTTGTGCGAGGGTTCTTAAACATATTTCGACATTTGTTGAAGCTCGCAACCTTTCAATGCTACCTAACACTGGGGCATAAATACAGCGTCTGTAAGCATTCATCTTAGTGTGCCCATCCGATACGATACGAACGGCTTAGGCTAAGGCGCACCTTTGAGCCAATGCGCACAGGCGGCGTGATAGCGGGTAGTTACCATCACATGATTTGCAATTTATGGTAATAAGACATCGATATGTGTTTTATGTGAAGCCTTATTTGCACACGAGTTAATTTGACGTTGCCGAGGCCATTCCGCAAGTGTGCAGTACCAAGGCCTCGTGGGTAATTCGATTTGAAAAACATGCACAGAAATTGCGTCTCTAAATATTGGTACATTCAGGGGTTGGAACAAATGTGTTCCAATCGCAATTATCATTCATCACTCCAAAGGAATACAATTTGTAACACCCGAACCAACAGAAAGTGATTTCGTAAAATATTGGTATTTAGACTTCGACAATCCAAAAGCCAGGTTTTTGGTTATGCTTATGGACTTTCCAGTCCACAGCAGCATATAATGATGTCCCACGTTATTATCAGTTTTTGCGTCGGCTATTTTTTTGGCGCAAATAAACTCATTTGCTGGGGGCTAGAAGTTTAAATGCCTCTTTGAATATTTATATAAAACTTCATGATTTAGTGTTTGGAACGGTCTGAGAATCTAACAAAGTGCTTTACAGTCTGGTATGTATCATAAAACGTTTGTCTAATCCACATGCCCTTTAAAAGAGTGGTTCATTTTCGTAATCAGCACATTCCAGGTACCTCCACAGAAAGCCCATCACACTAGTACATGTTTGGCGCAAGCCTGCACTGCTGAAATCATTTTCACTGTGATTTATCGGTTCACTAACGCGACTCGATGTGTCGGCATGATGATGACATAGGAAATGTAAACAACTCAGTGATGAGAAAAGTGCGCGTTGTTAAGGCCCTGAAAGTCAAGTGTTCCCGAAGATCCTTTCACCCAATAGGAATGTCAGAAGCAAAAACAAGCACATCATTTCGAGTCCGTATTTGGACGTCATGTCGCGACTGAAGGCACCACAGTTGTTATTACTTTCTCCACAGGCGACTGCAATGGAATTCACAAGAGTGCCGATTCAGTCGCGCCAGGCATCAAAGACCTCTGCGGAAGTGAGTGAGGACTCTGAGGATGACCTTTTGACGGACTCCTCCTGCGAGGATCTACCTGTTCCACCCCTTCGAAATCACCTTCCATCCAGTGCTACTCCATCACCATCCATCCAACATCACTCGACACGCCGTCCGGGGCAGTCCATCGCACCCACCGCTGCGTCTCTACAACAACACCATCGTTATCGGAAGCATGGGCTAGCAACTGGGCCTGTTCATCCAAAGGTGCGCCATCATTTATGTATCTTGCAAGCACACGTACTCCACCCCGTCTCATTATCAAAGTCATGTTGGTAGGTAACCATATTGTTGGAATATTTTGAGATCTGACCGCTTTTTATTCAGTTAAGTATAGCGCTCTTACCCACTTTGGGATGGTCTTAATTTCTAATTTTTTTAACATCTCGCATCATATTTTCCTAGGATTAGATGTGCTTAGTCTCAAACAATTGTATAGGAATTAATGATAGTTGACTGAGATGAACCCAAATTTTATGTCGGAAGCCAGTCCTTGTCAACATTATTTTGCAAATTTTAATCATGACTGCTAGTTTTTATTTCGTAATAATCCTACTGCGTAATTACTTGCCTCATTGGGAAAAATCAAGCCTAGTCGGTTAGATAAGCATTGGTTCAATTTTTCCGAATCTATTGTCGGAATTTCCCTTTGAAGACCCGATTTTATCAATCAATATATGAGCCAACTTTGGGGGTTGAATAATCTCTACCGGCGCTCTCGATGCAATGATTAATTTCGCTGCGACTAATCGGCATTTCTGCTTACCACTTATTGGTATGATAGTGAAAGTTGTTGAGGGAATTTAAGTTGAGCTCAAGTGGTAAACCGGTTGATTATATTAAAACATAGCACGTTGGTCTGAACATGTTCATGATATTCAGTGGCTTCGGCATCAATTCTTAGGCGAATCCTAGTCTACTTCACCAACAACAACGCGCACCTCAGGCAGGAAGGCGGTCATACAGAAGCGACCAGCCGAATGAAGCACTTTCTCCTCCCCACCCGGTGATGACGCCTTCCCACAAAATTCTGCGATCTCCTCAACCTCTCTATCCTCAGACTCATCGATACGATGAGTTGTGGCGGTCTACTGCTGAAGCTCTTCGTATGGTTCGTTGAAACTCAAATATTATATCATCTTCATTGACAACAATAACCGAAGTCTCTTTTCACAAAGCCATTGACTTTTATTTCCTGAATAGCAGTGAATATGTTTGTCAGAGTAAGGGATGTGTGCTTTTGGCTAGTGGGTGAGCGCGCCAATAATGCACGTGCTTGTTATTTCCGCGATGTGATGATTCACCGCTTATCAAGACAAGGCCACGTGGGAAAGCAGTAATAACAGCCTACACTGTGTGCATTCAGGTGAATAAGATGCATTGTGCTACGTCCAGTAATTCTAACGCAGTGGTATCGACAAATTAAGTATTTACTAACGTAGGTCTTCAAACAAAGCAGCAATGGGTCGAAAATTATCAAAGCAAACCTGGATGTGTGCCATTGGTTTTAATGCTTTTTAATTATTCTGGCTAAGAACTGGCAAAGTACCAGTTCGTCACATCTTAAATATGTCGGACTAAAACAAGAAAGTACGCAAAGCGTCTATTCTTTTTGCTCTTGTTTCTGAGTCGCTGGGAGACTTTATGGAACAACCAAGTATTCGTTTACCAATTTTGAGGATATATAATTAGATATCATTTTGGTTTGGCATTGGTTTATTAGATGAAGCCGAGCGCATTTTTAAATCAAGTAAGGATAGCGTTCTCTTGTTTCTTGTTTCTTTAGATTTTGGTTCCTCATTTGAATACCAACTTATCCTCAACACCGTTTGAGTTGGCGAATGAACTCAAAACGGGGATTCATCTCGCCGACTTTCTCAACAACTTTCTTGGCTACAAGGCGATCAAAAAGGTTGACACGTTTTTTTGTTATCTTTAAATATAGCATTGGTTGAGCCACAAATTTACGAGATTTCACTTCTTTGTGGTCCATTCAGATTTTAAAATGCAGATTGGATGCGACTTGATGAAGTGAACAGGTAGTTTTGGACAATGAATGATTGTTTGCTTATTCTTAGATTTACGAAGTATCCGGCAGTTCGTGGAGGTTTCGTGCGCGTCAAAACTTATTCAGCTGCCGAGAGGTAATCCACAACGTCGGCGTTCCAAAGGTTTGGTCTACTTATTCATTTTTAGTAAAACGCAAATTGCGGCAAACGCCTAGTCCAAACAAACGGAGACATAGTTATATCGTAAAACAAAACAAAAATGCGTCGGAGTACTCAGCTTATAAACTATTTGTTGATGGCGGTGACGTTAAAGTAGTATACATAGAGTGAATTTATCTGATATAACTAATTTAAATCTCATACCTGATGAGCGACTGAATATTTTACCAGCCCTCAAGTAGCAAAAATTTTTTTCAAGGTGGTATTTTGTTCGCAGTAGAAATGGGCAGCTATGTACGAATCAAGAGGTATTGATTGACGATAATATGATTGCTCACTTGTTTGATTTTTGAAAGAATTCAAAGTGCTGTCAAAGAATAGTCATATTTTCCGAGGTAAGGTGTATGAGTTACTTAAGAATCAAAATTATGATACTTAAAACAGTAAATGGATGGACGATGTCATAGTAGGATAGAAGGGTGTATGAATGGGTTGATTGATCAATGGGCGGACGCATCGACAGAGTAACAGGTTAAAGGAAAGAGGAACAGTTAGTTGAAGTAGTGAGAGAATAGATCGGTAGATTGACAGGTGAATGGATGGTTGATTGAAGGTAATAACTTGTGAATTAATCGCGAATTCAAGCATCGCCTCTTCTCGGTGACCCGAGTACTGGCGGCGGACACGACCGTGGGTCTATTCGGGTTGCTGCATTGCCTTCAGACCCTACTGGAGGTGTGGGCTAGCAGGCCAAGCACATTCATAGTAGGCGGATTAGGGGTGCGCGAGAAGCTCTCCAACCAGCCCACATCTTACCGCTCCCTCCTCGGAGACATCACCACCAATCGCCACCTGCATCACCAGCAGCAGCAGCGCTACCGCCATCGTACCTTCTCAAATCCCAACTACGGCGTCGGTGTCAATGGCTATGGTGGTGTCTTTTCCGACGTCTGATTTGGACCTTTTTCCATCCCCCAGAAAAGTTATAGATAAATTTATAGAAGCCATTCAATTTTTTTTCAAGCTGTGAAAGCGCATTTTCCATAAAAGCAGGAGTTAACACCAGACTCTTTCCAGTGGGCTTGTAAATGCTACAAATGGTATTTATTCTGTTGTGATTTTTCATAGATGAATTACTCGCAATTTGCGACAACTTAAGGATTTTTTTGAAAGTACATACTCGTAATCAGCGATGGTTTGCCAGTTAGTTAATATCTGTCATCATTAGATCGTACTTTTGTAAGAGCTCATTGGAAGCCCTTGAGATCGTGGATGATGTTAAGCCGAAAGGGCGAACATTACTTGTGAGTCGCAATTGGAGATGCGAGAGAGTGTTCTGGGTTCACAAGTCCATATTGTCAAGTTACTCTGGGGCAGTCCGCCCACCTCTTACGAAGTTAAACTTGCGTAGGGGGTTAATCTTGTATAACTTTAGCTCATCAGGTCTCACACATTCAAGCACCCACGCACTGTACACCACCTGTGGTGGTAAAGACATCTAAGTTGAAGCCTTTATCTTTCTGAGCCATGTTGGGAAGCGGCAGTGTCCATGCTTATACAAGCACGTAGTTCATAACATGCTTAGATTTGGTGCCCGTTTAAATCCAATCCGCTCTTTTAATAAAATTGCTTAACATACGCATCGGACCCATGGGAGTGGCTTTAGTTCGATTCTACATGTGGTGAATGAAACATCGCAGAGCAGTGTCTGACCCGAGTCACACTCGCCTCGAGTTCCAAGAAATTGATGTAAATCGACACGTTTCAGGGATTTTACTGGTCGTCTCATGCGCTTGCACCTACTGCATTGCTTTGCGGCGTCGTAGATGAGCCCAGGATTACAGTTAGGTACCCGCATAATTCTTTCACATCTCGCTACTGTTGGCACTGTTTTCACAGAATTTTTTTTGAATCAATGAGTTCATGCACCCTTGGGACGCGGTGGGTTGTGAAACAGACACATGGTCAGGCGAATTGTTGTAATTATTGTTTGAAGTTAAATTTACTCAATTGTAGCAAAACCACTTTGCCTTCACTCACTAGTCCTAAAATATTGGAAAGAGTTGTTCAGAAGCTTCCCGATTTGGTTGTTATACTTGTTGAGATTCCGAAAAAGACTTCTAAAAAAGCATTAAAGGATTGGATTTTAGTGGTCAAGCTGCTTTGTTTATATTTCTTTTGGTGGGGATGAGGGATTGATAGTAAAGGATAGGTGATTTAAACGATGCACGAGTTTAGATTCGGTTTGGGCGCAACATGGTTATGATTCCCAGCTAACAATTGCATAGTGTCGGCTAATGCCGCGTAATTACCTACTGGATGTGGTTTTTTTAACATTGTTTAGCTACTGCAAAATATTCGTTTGTCTGGCATCACCATCTCCACCCAAAAGATTTACACCTGACATAAAACTGGATGAAATTGTGTAGAAACTGAATGGAAAACCGTTTAATTAATGAGATGCAAATACGAAGACGAAGCCACAAGATTTGGACTTCGCGAGTAGGGCTCGTATAGCCGGTGACAAGTGTGTGAAAAGGTTTCGAAATGCCCAGTGGTCTAAGATATAGCATTCAAAAGTTTCACCGTTTCGGGGATCGTTTAAACTTTTGGAAAAAAAATTGGTTATTTTGTATTGTTAACGTTTAAGTACTTCTCACACATCCCTCCAACTTCCTGCACTACAGTTTAGGTGATTTTTACTGATGGAGCCCATCATTCAGTATCTAGTTTCGAGTTGAACATAAAGTATGTAGAAAAGTTACGCTATTTCAGGACACACATAAATCTTGAAGACGCACTAATTAAATAAACATAGTAGACCTAGAATTCGCTGTAGGTGGTTATACAGTTCCTGAAATGACATAAATGTTAGCATTCCACATGCTGGATCATACCACCTAAGCGAAATCAACAAACCTCAATCCATGCTAATGCTATCCTTGTAGGGCCTGTTGTTATAACATGATTTCCAAATTATTTCATGCAAAGTAAAGCCAATAGTTTAAATAGTCTGCTTAGCATTGCTCCTTTATGGTATACCTAACCCGGATAACCCTACCATTGGCTCTATCTGCCTTGTCTTTCAAAAACTATCAAAATTACGGAATCAAAGTTGCGCAGATTTGAAATCGCGGGAGCTAAATCGGAACATCCACTCTCTAATGTTAATTCTCACAGCAGCAAACAGACCTATTTCAGAATCGTAAATTACAATGCATTCGCACCAAATTCACTGCGTGTGTGTACCTGTGCTTCGGTTGCGTAATCGTGTGTTGAGTAACCATCTCACCAGTGCAGGCGGTGTGTTCAACCTGCAAACGATCTCCACGATTTGTGTGATCATGCGCACACGTGTGTGTGTATGTGTCTGCATCAAAAGTTGCGGGCCTCTGATTGGCCTCGCAGTTGCTACACTCTCCAAGTCTGTTTGAGGGGATCATTTGCATCAAGGCAACCACTTCGCCAACTGACTCATGAACCATGTCGTTACAATTGGATGTTAAGCTCTTGGAGGGTCTGAGTGGAAAGGGTCAACGCATCGTCAAGGCGAAATTCCGCGGTAAGATTCAGTTACCTACATTGTATAAGTATTTCGTAATTTTGTCAGCGTCGCAATCTCATATGCACTTCATAGTTGTAAAGTTCAAAATGAGAGAGATGAATTGACATAACAAATGATACCATTATCGCTGCACTGAAGCAAATATTTTTTTAAAGACTAAGTTTTTACAAAAATAACAAATGATATTTAATTATCTATTACTTTACTCTTCTGGCCCAACTTGGAAATTTTACAAATGTCAGGACCAAGGTTTTTGCATTTCAAAAGAGAGGCGGATTCCACAAGGGGCTATCAAACTTATTATTGAATAGGCCTGGTAACAAAGTGAGACCGATAATTTACACTTGCGTGGCGGATTTGGATGTGCTCTTGTGCAATTTTTCGTCTTGATCAACTACTTATCTAGTGGAGGTAGTAGTAATTGCAATGTAGGGTTGAAAAAATTACAACTAAAAGCAGTTTTTAAATAAGAAATCTTATTGAATGTATTAATATATGTAGTAAAAATACATTATAATCTTGCCCAGTGAACCTAACTAGTTAGTCATTTCATGCATATCTGGTTTTAGCGCTTTTTACATTGTTCCCAATTAATACAACACCGATGCTTCATAGCGCTCGCTGTAGCTTTCAAGCAGATGCCACGTTTGCGAGGCTAAATGAATTGGTTCTAATAAGATCACAGAGGAGAATGGATCAATCTTAAGGAAATGCAGGAACGGCCTTTAATTCACAATGCTGAGTAGCAGTGTGAAGTGAGAAGCAAATGTTATCTAGGCAGTCAGATGCCACTTCTGGTGTACACAACTTTATCATCAGGTGTGATTCGTTACCGCTAAAAACTCACTTATAAATTTCTCGTATGTGAGTACAAATGCTCTTCATAATCAAAACTAGTTGAATAACAAAATTAGTTTTCCCTTCTTAAAATAACCTAAAGCATCCCCTGAATCCTCATAGTCGTGGTTTGTTGCCGATGCGATAAGAGGCCAAAAGAACTATTCAAACATTTATCATGGACAAATCTCAATACAAATCTGTTCTGCGATTTTAAGATAGTGAACTTTCTACCAGACTGGCAGAAGGCCAGAATGCCTGCTACTTTGGAGCAGAGCTGGTATGGAGGGTTGCTCGTAGGCTTGAAGACAACGATGAGCTTGTGATTACCGCCTACGATGTCAGTAAATACCGACCAAAGAGGTAAATTGCTTGACTTTTGGGTGGGCTTTTGCTATTTTTTAATCTTAATCGGAAACCAAAAATGCGGTAATCCCAAGCCAAATTTAAGCAGAGAAAAGTGTTTTCCTTAACATCACCTGCTTCTTATTATAGCAATACTAAGAGCATTCGGACGCTTTTTAAATTCATCTTTCTCAAATCTTCACTCTAAATTTGCGTTAAAAGTCCATGCTTAATCGTAAGCCCAATTTGCAATATAGATCACCAATAGGATTCATGAAACAGGCTTTGTTAAAAACATGGTGAAAATGATTGAGCTGTGCTGCTTTCGAGCAATGGAGACCTCCATTTTGGTCTGTCATTTGATGGTCTCCTATTCGAGCACAAATATAAAATACCGTTCTTTGTGAATCTCAGAATCTGCACCTTAATTTTTAATGATTTATAGAGCGATTGGTTCTGTCACCGTTAACTTGGCAACTCTTGCACAGAAGCAAGTGCTCAGCTTGGAGGAGCCGCTTGTTGACGCAAACAAAATGGTCACGAGCGTAAGTGGTCCCTAAATGCCGCTTTTGCTGTTAACAGACCACTGTTGGGAAAATAAGTTGGTGTGATCGGGGTGTGAATGCCTTGCTTGTCCTTAAAATCGCCAAGAGCAAATATACATAGGCTATTTATCAAAACCAACGACTTAAACATCTCATTTACCTTTACCCACATTTCGAGTGACGAAGTAAATTTTATCATTTTGGGAATGCTCATATACCTTAAACAATTCCCTTTACGCCAATCTTATATGCCAACTCGTAGTATTTGATCACTGAAGCAGTGTACTTCTAAAGCTTGTTCAAACCCAAACTGAATCTGTTTTGGGAAAAAACATCCAGTTATTCGTAGTTTGGAAAGAGATTTAAAATAGGTATTTTAAAGTAAACTGAAAAAATATTGTTATGGTAAACATTTCTTATTATGCTCCAACCGTTTGTGTCACGAAAATTAAGACGTCACCGAGTTGTTTACCCAAAATGAACCTCCGTTGCGCTTCGTTTATCGTTAAACTGGGGTTGAAAATGAGCTTACTGATATCTAACTTACTTGGAGTAATAATGTATAAAAGGAGACTCTATTCACCTGGCCTAGGTAACTCTCTCCTTTGACCTCTACTACCGACCGCCAGACCAAGGCGAAGCCGACCTTGACATCGAGAGGTTTGGTCACCCTCTGGCTGACCTCCACCACGTCAGGAGTGCTGATGATCTTGGTGAAGGAGATGCCGATTTCGGCGAAGATGCCATGGAGTAAGCAAACTCCCCAATTCTTTCGCCACAATTTTTCGGAATATCCTCACTATCACAGTAAATAATTACTGCAATGGTGGCAAAATTAATTCGAACATACATTTTCGTGATTTGACCAAACACTGGTTGACAACACTTGAAAATTTTTCAGACAAAGTACCTGATTGGGTTTTTACTGCACAGCAGAAGGGATTTCTGTAATCATGTTTATTTTAATGGACTACTGCAAACCGTTTTAAGCCATGGGATGAAAATCGTCCCGAGGCGAATGGTTTCATGAAAACTGCAACAGTTCAAATTACAAACGCGAATTTTCGAATGTATAGTCCTGAAAAGTGCTAAAAATACCAAGAAACAAATGACATCAGGGGTGAAAGTAGTATTTTTTAAAGTGGTTTAGGCTTATCAAAAGTTCAATCACATTTGATTAAAAGAAGGTAAGATCAGATTTCTAAGCTCAGAGGATATGCATGAAAGAAAAAAGTGGAGTTGTTAGTCAAGAATGCAGACGAGTAAATAATGTCTACTAAAATATTTCTTTCTCCTTTTTTTAGTGATGCCAAAGACCTCATGGATTTATACGGATTTGGTGATGGTACTGCTATGAACATTGACAATCTTTCGGAGAAGTCCTCAGTTCTTTCTGGTCCGGTTCGAAGGTGACTTTAAGTCGCATTGCGGATTGATTTGCATTAAGACAGCTCAAGTGGTTGGTATTTTGCTGATATTGTAAAAGAATGGCAATCTGAGCTCTTAGTGGACAACTTTCTTAAATAAACTATTCATCCATTATAGTTGAGTGTTAATGAGATTGATAAATTGAACAATGTTTGATCGAGAAACTCCCACATAGCGCCTTTATTTCGCTTTCTCCTCGCAGAGACCCAAAGTTGAGGGCACTCATTGATCCAACCATTCTCAAGTCTGAAACATTCACAGTAAGTAACTTGGCAGATTACGCAACGACAGGCAATCCTAAGGGGTATAGGGAGATAACTTGACATGATTAGTCACTTATTTGAGTGACATCAATTTCAATTCGAAATGCATACTTATTTCCACACAGCGTCATCCCATGTGGCAGGATTTCCACATAAAGTGATTGTAAAATGACGTGTCGATTTATTGTTGCATTTCGAAAATTAGAATCTCCATGAGAAAAGTAGTGGCCGCAACTTGCAATGCCATAAAACGATGAGTGCTAAATTTACAATACTTACAATCATAGTTTCACTTTGGCAATTTTCCTTCGAATGAGGAACGAACATTTTAAAGTGTCACTGAACAAAGATATCACGATAAATTATGATCTAAAGCTCGCTTGGAAAATAGGATTTCAGTAAATGACATTTTACAATTACAGTGAAGCGAAAAGTCACCAAATTTGCCAAAATCAAAGCATGTTTTACCCAAGGAAACTTTAAATTTACAATTTATTTTTGCCTCGAAATATTTTGCAATTAATATTCAAAGTCGAACAGCTAAAATTATCGTAAAATATGTTGCATTTAAAGTTGATTTCTGCGATCAAAACAGCCTCATGTTGCTTTGATGGGTCATCTCGAGCTCAAAAAAAAGATAAAATATTTCCAGACTTCCTTAAAAATGTAACTTAAATGGTTTAAGAAACAGCGTGCCTCTAGTCTTTTGAATTTTTCTGCCTCTAACAGGTCTCTGTGACAATTGTGGAGGCGAAAGGTTTGCCCGGTGTGAACGTGAATCCCATGGTTGAAATAACCGCGGCTGGAAAGACTCGCAAGACAGACGTTAAATTCTACACAAACAATCCTTACTATAACAAATTCTTTTCTTTTGAATACTTTCTTCCCCGAGTGGCGGTGTTGGATGAACTTGTTTGGATCCGTGTGAGTTGCCTGAAGTCAGCACAAACATTTTCACAACCTAGCAATAAGATGTGCTTTCCGACTGATTTTGTAAATTTGGTTTTGATAATTCGGCCCAATCGTGTGATCCTGGCATTCAGCGCCAAGGCTAAACAATTGTCTTGCCGGCGCACTAAAACTTTTCAGTGTGGATAGTCACCGATCTGACAAAATATGGCTTAGTCAAAGAACCGGTGAATTTTTCATACAAGACGCTTGATTGTAAACAGATGCTAGCAACTTTGATCTTTTCTAGTTTTCTAGCAAATACCTTAAGCTGTCTTGCTTTACAAGATATATGGATACCTGTAAGGTATTATTAAACCTCGTTCGCTTGTGACGTTAGAGTGATTTAGCTTTGACGAAACCATGAATCCACTCAAGATCGTGACCTTCCTCCCCCACACCAAAATTTCTGCAGTAAATATAAATCGTCCGAAAATAAAAGCACATTTTATCAGCAGTAAAGTAACATAGAGATACCAAATACGCAAATTGACTATATGAGAAACGAGTCAGTCAAAAGCTAGTGTTGGATACAGCACCAATTATCAAACCTGAACACATCACACTCCATGAGATTTTTGAAATGTTGATTCCGTTCCAAACACACATCTACGAATTTTTTTAGAATTCTCATTGGAGAAGCCTTTTATAATATTACTAAGGAGAAGTATTAATAATCCCGCCAAAAATGGGTCCCTTTTTCAGTGAAAATTATCCCAATTTACTACTTACATGATTGGTAGTATGTCGTGATTATCATGTTACTAGGACTGTGAAATAAGCCTAATTTGATAAATCCGCACATCATCTTTCCCTATCTAGGTGTATAGCTTGAATGCAAAAATGATCGCTCGTCTTCTTCCCGGAAAGCTGATTGGCGAGTTCGTTATTGACGTTAGATCGATCTTTGAGAGTAAAGGTGAGTGCGACACCCTCAAACCTTGTCAACGGATCAGTTCACTCGTTTTAAAAGCTTACGTGCAGAGTGGTCCGAAATAACCTTTCGTGCACATTGTCTTTTCAGGACATGTGCTCACCAACAAGTGGGCTGTGTTGATTGATCCGAAGAAACCCCTTAGTGGACCGCAGGGATACGTTCGAATTGATCTGGCCTTTCTCGGCAAAGATGATATTCCAAAGGTTGGTTCCCGAAATTTATAGTTTACGATTCTAAAATCACAACGGTTTGGCTTCAGTTCTAGAGTAGTTGTAAATAGTCCTATTACTGACCTATGTATGTACATACGCTTACAATCGAATAGATTTGTTTGATCCTGATATTGAAGATATCACTTATGAATTGTACATTAAAAACCCTAAATGGGTTAGTTAAAATTTCTCTAATATTATGTAAAAAAGTTTCACTTGTGTCATACCCCATTTTATCTTCGTAATTTTTCTTACAGCACATCAAGCACGAGAAAGATGATGAAGATATAAGTCTTGAAGGGTAAGCTCTTAGTTACTTTATCATCAATCTAATAGCATAATGCAATACTCATCGGAAACGATTCCTATTTTATTTACCACCTTTCCATTTAATATCAGAAATCAGCTTGTTCCGAAGGGCATAACTAACCTCTCGAAGAGGAACATCACAGAGTTTTCGGTAAAGATCTATCGAGCCGAAGGACTGCCACCGATGAATACGGATATCATTACCTCCATTAAACAGGCCTTTGTGGGCGATTCTGCTCCGATGTGTGATCCCTACGTAGAGGTCTCCTTCGGTGGTCACACTGTTAGTCTATATCTTGTCTATATATAATCTAAAGTTACAAATTTTTAAAACTACAATTGATGAGTTTACACCTTTACCTTTCCGATAAATGCACTAGTTTAAAGTGATCAACAAACTTCTCGTTATTTAGGCTAAAACTAAAGTGAAAAAATACACCTACACTCCGATATGGAACCAAGAGATTGTCTTTTGCGATTTCTTCCCTCCCCTAACCCACACGATCCGCCTCGCTGTGAGGGACTGGGAGGCCGTTAAGGACGAGACGATTGCGACGCATTTAATCGATCTTAAACAAATTTTGGACAAAAGTAGTGAAAGTGAGTAAAACCATCTTGCGCAATAATAAACTAATCATCTTTTTGGCTTTTTTTTATTCTAAGTTGAAACATATTTACTGGTGTTTCGTGGGGATACAGGATGGGTGTCCGTAATTGCCTGTACTTTTACATCGTATCGATGGTGTTCGTGAATGTGTTGCTTTGATTTTATCACCCTACTTTTGTTCCTCTCTTTTAGATGTGATGCCAACATTTGGTCCTTCTTGGGTGAACCTCTACGGTTCACCAAGGACTTATACTTACGAGCAGGCGCGTCGCCCAGACGACGAGCTGAATAAGAGCCTGGGTGAGGGTGTCGCCTACCGTGGTCGTCTCCTCATCGCCATCAAGGCGCAACCGAGTAAAGATGCCATGAAAACAGGTGCTATCCTTCGGGGCACTCCACCCGTTTCTGAGGTGAGGCAAACAGTTTGCATGGACCTGGGGGCATTGCCAAAGTCCAGCGGCAGTCTCTGTCAGCAGTGGCATTTGCGTTGGCCAATAAGCGTTTTTGTCATGTGCACTATTAGAGTGGAATTGAAATGACCTAGGGAATATTTTCAAAAGCCTTCAAAAGCAATGTTACAGACTAAACACGCCGAATAGTGGGTACCGTCTTGATCAATTTAAAATTTTATTTTTCTTCCCAGAGTTTTTTAACTTATGATGCAACTTTTTGTTTAAAACGGGCTTAACACACAGCCTAATTATAGTCTTAGGTGTATACAAAATTGAAAAATTCACATTGAACAGTTTCGTTATTTGTCATTACGGAATGGCGTACACCAATTTTCTTGAGGTTAACTAAATTAACAAAGAAATTCGCTATTTCGGGTAGTTTATTTGAAGCGCCCGATAGGAAAGGAGTCTTTTTATTGCCAGATGAAGCTTAGAATCCGTCTTTTGTTATTGAATTTTTGCTTTTGTAAATGCGTAAATCGACTGTTTCGGTACTATGTTTTTATGGTGTCCCTGCATTGCTTCCATTAGTTGATTGATATCATATCTGACCGTTAACTGTAATACATAGAGCAGTACTTTGCGAGTGACTGAGAAGTTTTTACTCGTCAAAAATTCACTTACATATGGCAGGATGATTTTATGTTGTGTGCTGCGCTTAAATGCAACTTCACTATCTCCTGATCGCTACAATGAGCGCCCTCCACAATTGCTTGAGGGAATGATTGCGAATGGATCTTATTTTAATCAGTTTGTGTATTATCGATGGACTGCATGCATATATTTCAGCTTGTCGCTGGTAGAAAGAGTCCATACCTCCTGTTTGTTGCATTCTACGGAGTGTCAGTTGTGGATCCAGAGATCGGCAGCGAAAAAATGCCCATTCAATTCGAAGTCAGCATCGGCAAGTCCTAGAAATTTGAAATGAACATTCCAACTCTACTTAATGGATATAATAGTTTTACCACATATTCTTCAAACCGAAATTGGCAAATTTGTTAAGGGATTTAGTCTTATTGTTATCCTTTTGGTAATGACAGGTTTACCCTTTTTAGGCAACTACGGCAACAAAATTGATGGAAAGAAGGGTGGAATATTAATGAAAGATGAAGCCCCGTGTAGGTTTTCTAACAAAACGGTCCATTCTTTACTTATTAATCAAAAGAAGTTATGTAACGCACTTTGCTCATTCAGAAGCAAGGCGTGTAAATAA